TTGGGATATCTTGCCATACCTAACAACAAGGAAACTTACACAAAGACCAATAGAGGCAGGGCAGAAGAACCCATGGGCCATCTTGAGAAAGCTCCCAATGAGCGCAGTTGGGATACTGTGACCCTAACATGAGGGTAATGGTTGTAATGGATTGAAACCATATATATTTAAATCCTTGAGTTCATAATAACGTTTTTAAACTAGTGATTGGTCGCCTTCAGAGGACGGATAGAAAAGCAATTAATTAAATAAAAATGAACAAGTAAAGGGGCGCCTGGGTGGCTCAGTTGGTTAAGCGACTGCCTTCGGCTCAGGTCATGGTCCTGGAGTCCCGGGATCGAGTCCCGCATCGGGCTCCCTGCTCGGCGGGGAGTCTGCTTCTCCCTCTGACCCTCCCCCCTCTCATGTGCTCTCATTCTCTCTTTCAAATAAATAAATAAAATCTTTAAAAAAAAAAAAATGAACAAGTAAAGGTAAAGAATTCAACATTTATCTTACATTTTCCATATGAATTGAACTACTGAGTAACCAAATAGTACATGAAAAGAAGTCTCTTGTTATACAAGTATTCCAACTGATAAATGAGAAAGAAGTAGTAATTTTTCACACTGAATGAATCAACAATCTAAGCAACAAACATCAATACTACTACTAACATCACAAAAAGAAGAACAACTGGACATTATGTGGCGATGAAAGGCTGCACCACCACCTTTGGCCTTACCAAAGCGATCAAGTATGAGGCTGATGAGACTCTGGGTCCAGCTGCTGATCTGCAGGAAGTACAGAAGACAGAGGAACATGAGAACTATGCTGTGAATGTGCACTTGGGAAAATCCAGACTCCCGGAAACTACAGGTCACATGGCCCAGGTCCTTCAACCATGAGGGGAAAAGGGACTACCTACAGATGAAAAGATGTTAAAGAAATTGCCAGAAAAGCAGCAAGATCCATCCATTGCTGTGTCCTTCAGCTCCAAGTTATTCAACCACAAATAACTGCAAATTTGAACCTCCTAAGTTTCACATTAAAGTGCATGGTTCTAGAAACATCTTTTACATTAAAATTGTAAGACAAAAAAAATCATCTCTGTATTGCTTGAACATTTACATTTATTATTTTATCATTAATTCAGCCAGAGAATGGTTATCTTCTGGAGTTGGGTGTTCTAAGTTTAGAAACAAAATAAAACCACCAAAAAGGTGGTCTTTTTTTTTTTTTTCAGTGCGAACTCCCTGTGACGTCACCCATACCCCTCCTTTTAAGTCCCACATGTCTGACATGTTTATATCCAGAAGAAACAATTACTGACACCTTCCATAGCTGTAACTGAAAACTTCAGATCTAAAATTACTTATCCCGGAATTGATTTCTATATTCCTTGTTTTGATCATTTCAGGTGGCTGTCAGTATCTTTTGGAGCCAGAAGAGGGCACTGCAGAGCAGCGTAGCTCTGAGTACTTGGGACTAGCAGACCCTGTCCTTTGCAGAAATGTGCAAAGCTTTACTGCAGAAATAAGAACAACTGAAGGGATAGTAGATAATCACTATAGGCCTTCTTTATTTACTAGGGAAAAAAAAGAACAGTCAAAATATATAACTATCTAAATACATATCTAGGCTATCAAATATGCATACAGATAGATGATAGATAGATATAAATGTAGATATTTCTTCTTTTAAAACATCCTAAAGCTGGAGGTGGCTGGCTGGCTTATTCAGTGGAGCATGTGACTCTTGATCTCGGGGTCCTGAGTTCGAGCCCCATATTGGGTGTGGAGCTTACTTAAAAAAAAAATCAGGGCGCCTGGGTGGCTCAGTTGGTTAAG